CGGAGAGTCGGACACGACTTAACGACTAAACAACAACAACAACATGGTTGGGAATAAAAACAAATAAATGGAAAACCCTGCTTTTGAGAAGGGGTTTTGATACCAGGGACTGCAGGGGGGGGGGGGCTTCCCATCATTGGATGCATTTAGCTGAGGTTAAATTCCCAACTGTGTGGGAAGCTGATAGTCAATGACCTTAATGACCCCTCCAGCTCTATGATTCTGTTGCGTTGTAATCTTCAGGAAGTTTGGTATATAAGGGAAGGAGGTATCAAGGATAGTATCTCCAATAGTTCCAGACAGATGCACTGCAGTTTAGTATACTTGCTAATGGGCTGGCCAAATTTTTACATTGTATCTTGGAGAAATTCTGAAGAATGAATGAAATGCCAGACAACCGGAGGAAGGATAATGTTGCCCCTGCCTTCAAAAAGAGGAAAAAGGAAAACCTGGGGAACTATAGGCCAGGAGTTTCCACTGACACTAATGCCTACAAGCAAACCGTAAAGTGATTGCTCTATTAGCATCTTTAAAAAGTTGCAGGTGGGACATTGGATTTATCAAGAATATTTTATTTTTTGTTCAGTAACTTCCTTAGCAGATTGTGGGATGTTGTGGATATAATTATATAATTTATTTACAGGATTTATAGGCTTATCCAGTCAACCAACTCTGAGTGGCGTGCAATTCCTGAAATCTATCATTTGGAATTAAAAATAAAAAGATAAATGAATTTAACACTAAAATCATATATTGCAAATAATCATATAAAAGTGGGAATCAATGTTTAGTACAACAGAACTAATTCATCATCTGGAGGGATAGTCACACAATCTAGCCAATAAGGCTGATACCAAGTTCAGCAAAGCATTTGACAAAGCACATCATGATCACTATCAGATGGCACCACAGCTGGCTTGAAAGCTACTCAAGAGTGCTCAGTGGTTCCTCATAAAATGGGAGGTGCCAGGTAGGATGCCACAGGATTCAGTTCTGAAACGTGTACTTCAGTGATTTTATTAACTTGGGCGAAGTCATGTGTGGTAAGCACAGTGAGGCTTGTAAGACTAATGTGAGCTCTTTGAGGTAGACAAGATCAGGAAGACATCACCGGAAGACTACAACTATTTCATTGAGATAGGCTATAACAACAAAGTCTTGAGCAAGCCTGACAGTCATTTGATGAGACAATGTTTATTAAAGTTCACTGGACCACAGGAGTGGAGAATCACCTTGTCCTATACCTCAGAACAGTTAATTGTGTCAGTTTTAGCAATAATAATTTGGGTCATAATCTTCTTAACCCTACATAGAACTTGGAAGAAAAGTTACCTTAGAAAGATACAGTTAGGATCGTTATGTGGAATTAACTGGACTAGATTTACTTTCAACAGATTGTAGCACTGCTCACAATTGCAGAGACAAGATGCATTAGATAATTGTAATGAAAACTTGTTTAGAGGCTATCTTTGGCCTACAGCATCTCTTCAAA